ACACACACACACACACACACACACTCTCTCTCTCTCTCTCTCTAATTCTCTCTCTCTCTCTCGATGCTATCTATCTATCTATCTATCTATCTATTTATCTATCTCTTTCCAGTTTTCCAGTGAGTTCACAGAGGCTGCCACAGCGTCTATGCTGCACCAGGACACAAGAACCAAATTCCAGCAGACCGGATCGGAAGATCTACCAGCTTTGACTCTCCAGGTCCTTTCAGAAGGTGACAGCAACAATAACAACAGAAACATCGACGGCATCAGCAACAACAACAGCTGCAGCAACAACAGTAGTCCCATGCACTGCAATAGTGGTGGGGGCAGAGTAGATGGTGGGGGTTGCGCAGTAGACAGCAACACAATACCTTACAATCCGTTCAAGTGCCTGAGCGCTATGGCCGAGCAGACCTTCGAATCCCCTCACAGCCTAACGACGCTCAAGTGCTGCAGTGCCTCCCCACCAGTCCTTTTGAATAATGGAACTCTGAATTCTTCGATAAGACAAGGAAGTAACGTCGTTGCGGTTGATAATAAAGGAAATAATAGCAACAACAATAACCCACAAAGAGTAAGAAGAGGAGGAGGAGGAGGGGAAAGAGGAGGAAGAGGGGGAGAAAGTGGAGGTGGGAGGAGGATAGGAGTGAACACGCCCATCACAACAAACACCAACGCATCCTCCTCCCTGTCCTCCTCCCTTCATGCTCATCATAACAGCCATCGCCAATATGACCAGCAACAACAGCCTCACCTTCTCCAGCAATATCAGCCTTGTGATGCTACAAACAATGCGAAGAGATTATCATTTTTCTCTTCGTCCTCACCCTCGCCCTCACTTTTATCGTCGCCTGGGTCGTCTTCTTCATCACCATCGTTATCTCCATCGTCGTCTTCTGCGTCTTGCTGCTTGTACGCACCCGACACAAACCAACAGGCTCCGTCTGGCTGTTACTCTGACTTCTTAAACACTGACCACCCTTCTGAATATTATTCCAAAACGCAACAGCACCCAAATGAGACCTCACGAGTGAACGAATTTGCCTCGGCTGTAAATAACTCCGAAAGCCCATTTTCGCCATGCGCATCTCCCTGCAGCGGCAGCAATAATAATAGTAATAATAATAACAATAATAGTTATAACAATGACAGCCATAAGAACAATAATGAAAATACCAACAACAATAGCAGCAACAGTCATTTTTTCGACAAATCTCCTGTGGAGGAGGATATGAAAGTCGTGGGTAGTAAAAAGGACTTTTCGCTGTGTGCCGTGTCCGATCAAGCTCTAGAAGGTAAGCCGCATTTTTTTTTTGGGGGGGGGGGGGAGGGGGGGATTCGTTTTTTAATTTGATTCTTTGTTTGTTGTAGTTGTTTTGTTTTATTTTTTTGTTGGTGGTTTGTTGTTGTTGGTGTTTTTTGTGTTGCTTTTTTAGGGGGGGAGGGTTGTTACTGAAAGACGATAGCATTCTGTGCACTTCGTAAACTCAACTCTATCTTCTTGTCTTTGTCTCTCTCTCTCTCTCTCTCTCTCTCTCTCTCTGTGTGTGTGTGTGTGTGTGTGTGTGTGTGTGTGTGTGTGTGTATGTGTGTCTATCTCTCTCTTCCCCCCACCTCTCTCTCTCTCACTCTCTCTCTCTCTCTCTCTCTCTCTCTCTCTCTCTCTCTCTCTCTCTCTCTCTCTCTCTCTCTCTCTCTCTCTCTCTCACTCTTTCTCTCTTTCTTATTCTCTGTCTCTGTTCGTCAGTCTGTCTGTCCGTCTGCCTCCTTCTCTGTCTCTCTGTCTCTCTCTCTTTGTCTCTGTCTCTGTCTCTCTCTCCTACTCACTTTTGTTTTATGCCTCCTCTGTTTTCATAGATACACATTAATGTGTCTCTACGTAATTATTTTTTTTCTTACAAAGAATGCTTGAACTGACGTCTTTGGAATAGTGCTTAAGCGTTTCGAAATCGGACGTAAGAGATCCGAATTCTCTGTTTCGATTTACTTTCGCTTGCAAAATCGAATCGTGTCTACTAATCGGTCTATATTGAGTCCATACGGGCGCAAAACACCCAACTGTTTAAAGGCCTAGAACTACCTGTATTACTGAGTTCTTACGATTTTAACAAATCTGAATCCAGTCCATTGCCAGAAAAAAACGTACAGCTGTAATTATTGTTTAATACATCCAAACATTCAGTTTTTGCATTACCTTAATAGTGAGTAATGATATTTCAAAACCCGCTAAATGGAGTTTCCTAAGATGTCTAATAGAAAGCAGCGTTTTATTACTTTAAAGCTTTTAAATCTGTGTGGAGAGAAATATAACTTATATATATGACAGTATTTTTAAATTAGTTTATTCTCTATGCAACAGACTGCAACACGCCGTGCTAAACCTGAAAAGCAGCAGAATAAAAAACTGAAAATTCGAAACGATAGTGCAAGAGTACCCCAATGTGTGTGCCTTTATTCACCTTCTGGAAGTATGCAAAAAATGGTAATGGTGAAATCAATGAAATAAATAGAACTTTACAGTTTGAAAAAAAAAATTCTTTAATCTTACCCTTTATAACTTTATACTAATATGGTTGTTGTTTTTAAAGCTATTTCAAGACACGATTTTCACTCGTTTTCGTCCCACATTTGCAATAAAATGTAACTGATTGCCGTTCGAGACCCATAATCGAACTCTGCTCTGTCTTCCTCTCTCGGTCTTTAAAAAAAATTATGCCAATCGTAACAAGGGAGTGAATGTTTGTGTCAAGTGACTTGTGTCTTCCGAAACAATCAACAATAATTCATATAAGGATTGTTTGTTATGGGCTTATCATTTTCTGCTAAACTCTAACTATACCAATTCCGTACCAGAAAAAAATATCCCTTTGACATTCACACGTTCCTTGATTCGAAACGTATTTTGTCATTTGTCTCTCGTTCAGTCTGAAGAAAGGGGACGAAATCAGTTAGTTAAACGAAAATGTAGGAGGACCAGGGGTAAAAGCTGACTTGTTTGGCAGGGTAATCAAAGTGAAACGGGACCAGATATGGCCTGGAGATATCACACAAGAATCTTACTCGAGACGGCGACTCTGGGTTGTGAATGAAAACAAATCCTGAATTCACATTGTATGTTCAACCGCCAAAATAATCGGGAAAGTATCTTATTAAATATTAATTCCAACTACAATTAAATTTAACTTAAGATGTGAATGCACAAACACAAAGCAAAGAATGTATATATGTTATAGATCTACCCGTGAGTCTAAGTCTTTGGTAGAACATGACAATTATCCTTTTTTTAAATTTCACATTTGGCTGTTTTTTGTGTAGCCTTTCGCGACCAGGAGGCGATGTCATAATCGAGGTCGGGTTATATATTATAGGATGGTAAAAAGTCGAGGAAAAAAAGCAAGCACTTGCAACAGTCAAGAGATTGTTAGGAGTTAGTTCCCCTCACATGTGTGAGGTAGACTCGACCAGTGTAATAGTTAGCTTACATAATCAGAGTTTGTGATTGCTTTTAACTGTGGCACCAAAGTGGTGAACAGGGTATTTGTGGCAATGAAACAGTTTTGACTGCTATGCACATGTTCCCTTCAACTCTATTGGTAGACTCTTCCA